GGCTGATCCCGACGATTCCATAGGGCTTGGAAAGTCGCTACCGACCTGGCATTCCACGAGGAGCTGTTTCCCGGCGGGGCGGGCGAGGGGGGATGCGATACCAGCCTTCCCAAGGATTTCTGGCGATATCCTTGGGGGGGTGGGAGGGAGAGGGGCCGGACCCTTCCCCTACGCTCCCGCCTGGAAAAATTGCGGGATCCAGGGCATGGATCGGGGAGTCGGGGGGGCCCGCAGACCCGCGGAGGCTGCGAAATTCAATAAGGGTTTTGGGGGGAAAAAAACCGGTTCCCTTTTGGGATTCCTGGAGTGGGAAAAGTGGGAGAAGGTGGGAATAGGGAAAAGAGCCTTCCAGGTTTGGGGGGATAAGGAATAACAGCCCTTCCCTTGGGATTTGGGGCGGGATCTGGGCATGGATTTGGAGCTGGGATCCCACAGGGAGGCTGCGAATTCCAAGGATTCTGGGGAGAAGCTGCGAATTCCAAGGATTTTGGGGAGAAGCTGCGAATTCCAAGGATTCTGGGGAGAAGCTGCTCCTCTTTTGGGATTCCTCAGCCTGGAGTGGATTCCCTTTGGACTGGGAAAAGTGGGAGAAGGTGGGAACAGGGAAAAGCCCAGGCATGGATTTGGAGCTGGGATCCCACAGGGATGCTGAGAATTCCAAGGATTTTGGGGAAAATCCCTTTTGGGATTCCTCATCCCTGGAGTGGGAAAACTGGGAGAAGGTGGGAATAGGGAAAAGAACCTCCCAGGTTTGGAGGATAAGGAATAACAGCCCTTCCCTTGGGATTTGGGGCGGGATCCGGGCGTGGATTTGGAGCTGGGATCCCACAGGGATGCTGAGAATTCCAAGGATTTTGGGGAGAAGCTGCGAATTCCAAGGATTTTGGGGAGAAGCTGCGAATTCCAAGGGTTTTGGGGAGAAGCTGCGAATTCCAAGGATTTTGGGGAGAAGCTGCGAATTCCAAGGGTTTTGGGGAGAAGCTGCTTCCCCTCTGGAATTCCTCAGCCTGGAGTGGGTTCCCTTTGCACCGGGAAAACTGGGAGAAGGTGGGAACAGGGAAAAGCCCCTCCCAAATTCCCAAATGCACATTCCCAAATTTCAGCTCACCCCCAAACTGCGGCATATTCCCAAATCCCAGTGAGTTCCCAAATCCCGGTGAGTTCCCAAACCCCAGTGTTCCCAAATCCCGGTGAGTTCCCAAATCCCGTTGAGTTCCCAAATCCCAACGTGTTCCCAACTCCCATTCCCGAATATCGGGACCACAGAATTCCCGAATTCCGGGTTTTTTGGGGGGCTCCAGGCCGTGAGATCACCCAGATCCATCCCAAGCCTTTTGGGAAGGAAGGAATTTCCCCCCCCCTCATTCCCATTCCCTCTGCCTTCCCGGGTGGGAAAAGCGGGATCATGTGAAGGACGAGGAGGAGGCTCCGATGATCCCGATGATCCTGATGATCCCGATGATCCTGATGATCCCGGAGCTCCGGCTGCGCTCCGGAGATAAGGAATTCCTCGTTCCCTCATCAAAGAGGGAGCGCTAACGAGGCTCTGAGCCGGATCATTCCGGATAATTCCCGATAAAACTCCGGCAAGGTGACCCCCGGGACGGCGGAGCCGGGCTGGGAATCAACGCCAGGAGCTGCTGCTCCCGTGGGATGATCCCGAAAATCCAACTTTTCCAGCACCGGGGGGGAAAATTCCCATTAAATTCCAGAGCAGCCTGAAAAACATGGAATTATTTTCCCATTTTATTGGATCCTGGAGGAGAAAATTCCCGATAAATTCCAGAGCAGCCTGGAAAACATGGAATTATTTCCCAATTTATTGGATCCTGGAGGGGGGAAATTCCCGTTAAATTCCAGAGCAGCCTGAAAAATATGGAATTGTTTCCCAATTTATTGGATCCTGGAGGGGGAAAATTCCTGTTAAATTCCAGAGTAGCCTGAAAAACATGGAATTGTTTCCTAATTTATTGGATCCTGGAGGAGGAAAATTCCCAAGAAATTCCAGAGCAGCCTGAAAAATATGGAATTGTTTCCCAATTTATTGGATCCTGGAGGGGGAAAATTCCCGTTAAATTCCAGAGCAGCCTGGAAACATGGAATTATTTCCCAATTTATTGGATCCTGGAGATCCAACTTTGGCAGCTCCAGGGGGGGAAAATTCCCGTTAAATTCCAGAGTAGCCTGAAAAACATGGAATTGTTTCCTAATTTATTGGATCCTGGAGGAGGAAAATTCCCAAGAAATTCCAGAGCAGCCTGAAAAATATGGAATTGTTTCCCAATTTATTGGATCCTGGAGGGGGAAAATTCCCGTTAAATTCCAGAGCAGCCTGGAAAACATGGAATTATTTCCCAATTTATTGGATCCTGGAGGGGGAAAATTCCCGTTAAATTCCACAGCAGCTGGAAAACATGGAATTGTTTCCCAATTTATTGGATCCTGGAGGGGGAAAATTCCCGTTAAATTCCAGAGTAGCCTGAAAAACATGGAATTATTTCCCAATTTATTGGATCCTGGAGATCCAACTTTGGCAGCTCCAGGGGGGAAAATTCCTGTTAAATTCCCATTAAATTCCGGAGCAGGAGCTGCTCAGCCTGGAAAACATGGAATTGTTTCCCAATTTATTGGATCCTGGAGGGGGAAAATTCCCATTAAATTCCAGAGCAGTCTGAAAACATGGAATTGTTTCCCAATTTATTGGATCCTGGAGGGGGAAAATTCCTGTTAAATTCCAGAGCAGCCTGAAAACATGGAATTGTTTCCCGATTTATTGGATCCTGGAGGGGAAAATTCCCGTTAAATTCCGGAGCAGCCTGAAAACATGGAATTGTTTAGGCTGGAAAAGCCCCTGGAGGTCGTGGATTCCAAGCAGGATCCCGGAATCCGGAGCTCCCGGCGCTTCCAGAGGCTTTTCCATGGGATTCCAAACCCTACCGGGTGTTTTCCCGGGCAGATTAATGGATAATCTTCCCGCATTCCTTGGAGTCCCGGGATGGGATGGGATGGGATCCTTCCAAAGGATTCCCAGAAAACAGCTCCGAAGGTCCGAAGGTCGCCGAGCGCTTCCCGAAAAAAATTCCTGGGCGGGATTATCCAGAACAGAGGGGGGAGCAAGGGAATAGGGGGGGGGGGGAAATATCGAAATTCCAGGGATTTGCTCAACTGTAGATGGAAGGATGAGCAGGGGAAAACAGGGAAAAGGGGGGGGGGATATTCGGGAATGGGTTTGGGAACTGATGGAAGTTTTGGTGGAAATTCCAGTCCCAAATTCCAGGCCATTCCCAAGTTTCAGTTCACCCCCAAATTCCAGGGTGTTCTCAAATTCCAGCATGTCCCCAAATTCCAGGAATTGCGTTCCCAAATTCCTGTGTGTTCCCAAGTTGCAGAGCATTCCCAAATTCCAGGGCATTCCCAATTTCCAACGTGTTCCCAAACTGCAGAGTTCCCGAATTCCAAGTCATTCCCGATCCCCGCGCATTCTCAAGTTTCAGTGCACCCCCAAATTCCAGCGTGTTCCCAAATTCCAAGAATTGTGTTCCCAAATTCCAGTGAGTTCCCAAGTTTCAGGCCATTCCCAAATTCCATGTATTCCCAGTTCCAGTGTGTTCCCAAATTCCAGTGCATTCCCAAATTTCAGAGCTCTCCCAAACTGCAACACCTTCCCGGCTGCAGAATTCCCAAATTCCCGGGGCATTCCCAAGTTTCAGTTCACCCCCAAATTCCAGGGTGTTCCCAAATTCCAGGAATTGTGTTCCCAAATTCCCGTGAGTTCCCAAGGGGCAGGCCACTCCCAAATTCCAGTGCATTCCCAAATTCCTGTGTTTCCAAATTCCAGTGAGTTCCCAAATTCCAATGCCTTCCCAAATTCCAGGGTATTCCCAATTTCCAACGTGTTCCCAAACTGCAGAGTTCCCAAATTCCAAGTCATTCCCGATCCCAGGGCATTCCCAAGTTTCAGTGCACCCCCAAATTCCAGGGTGTTCCCAATTCCAGGAATTGTGTTCCCAAATTCCAGGGAGTTCCCAAATCCCAGTGTATTCCCAAATTCCTGTGAGTTCCCAAGTTTCAGGCCATTCCCAAATTCCATGTATTCCCAGTTCCAGTGTGTTCCCAAATTCCAGTGCATTCCCAAATTTCAGAGCTCTCCCAAACTGCAACACCTTCCCGGCTGCAGAATTCCCAAATTCCCGGGGCATTCCCAAGTTTCAGTGCACCCCCAAATTCCAGGGTGTTCCCAAATCCCAGGGAGTTCCCAAATGTGCCCCCCGACTCCAAATGGGAGCTGCTGCATCCCAAGGAATGTGGGAAGTTGGGAAAAGGTGTCTCCAGGCAGGGAATGAGCCCCGGAATTCCGGGGAAAATGGAGGGAGAAGCTGCATCCCAAGGAATCCCAGGAAGACCGGAAGCTCTGGAATACTTCTGGGTTTATTTAAGGCAGCGTTAATTATCGATTATTAATTACCAATTATTAATTATCAATTATTAATCATTAATTATCAATCACTAATTAATTATCAGCTCATTAAAACCCCACGGAAAAGCCCCGGGATGGGAGATCAGGGATATGGGGAAGCTCCAAGGGATGGATCCATCCCAAAATTCCCACGAAACCCCCCCCTCCCCCTTTTCCAGGGAGGTGCTTGGAGCTCTTCCCAGCTCATCCAATCAACTCATATTCATTCCCACCCTAAAAATTCCCAAAAATTTTGGCTCCAAGGTGGGAAAATCAAAACCCGGAGGTGAAAAATTCCGCCCCCGAAAGGAAAAAATTCCAGCGGCAAAGGCACAATTCCAAGGGCAAAGGCACAATTCCAAGGGCAAAGGCACAATTCCAAGGGCAAAGGCACAATTCCAAGGGCAAAGGCACAATTCCAAGGGCAAAGGGACAATTCCAAGGGCAAAGGGACAATTCCAAGGGCAAAGGCACAATTCCAAGGGCAAAGGCACAATTCCAAGGGCAAAGGGACAATTCCAAGGGCAAAGGGACAATTCCAAGGGCAAAGGCACAATTCCAAGGGCAAAGGCACAATTCCAAGGGCAAAGGGACAATTCCAAGGGCAAAGGCACAATTCCAAGGGCAAAGGCACAATTCCAGTGGCAAAGGCACAATTCCAAGGGCAAAGGCACAATTCCAACGGGAATTCCAAGCCCTGGGTCCCGGGAGAAGGGGATGGAGGGAAAGGGAAAGCCGGGAAAGGCTGTGGGTAACAACTGGGAATTCCAGGGAAAAGGGACGGAGGGAAGGGAAGGGAAAGCTGGGAAAGATTCACGTTCACAGCTGGGAATTCCCAGGAGAAGGGGATGGAAGGAAGGGAAAGCTGGGAAAGGCTCCCGTTCACAGCCGGGAATTCCCAGGAAAAGGGAAGGGAAGGGAAAGGCGGGAAAGGCTCCTGTTCACAGTCGGGAATTCCCGGGAAAAGGGGATGGAGGGAAGGGAAAGGCGGGAAAGGCTCCTGTTCACAGCTGGGAATTCCCGGGAAAAGGGAAGGGAAAGGTGGGAAAGGCTCCTGTTCACAGCCAAGAATTCCCGGGAAAAGGGGATGGAGGGAAGGGAAATCCGGGAAAGGCTCCTGTTCACAGCCGGGAATTCCCGGGAAAAGGGAAGGGAAGGGAAAGGTGGGAAAGGCTCCTGTTCACAGCCGGGAATTCCCGGGAAAAGGGAAGGGAAATCCAGGAAAGGCTCCTGTTCACAGCCGGGAATTCCCGGGAAAAGGGACGTCCGGCGGGAGCCCTTCCAGCCACTCCAGCAGGATCCTGTTCACCTCGGCCGGCCTGCAGGGAAAGCCGGGAATGGGCCGGGAGCCGGAATTCCCGGGAATCTTGGGAAGGGGGGGGGTTATCCCGGCTCCCACCTTTCCATCTGCGTCCAGTGCCCGCATTCCTCCAGGTGCTCCCGGCGCAGCCGCGGGATCTTGGGAAGAGGGAGGGTGGGAAAGAGGGAAGGGGGAGGGTCGGATCCCGGCATTCCCGGCATTCCCTGGTGGGATGGGGGCCGGGAATTCCCGGGCTTACCCAGTTTTCCATGCCCTTGCTGAGGCTGGGAAGCAGCACCGGGTCCTTCCCGGCCGTCACCATCAGAGCCGGCAGCGGGATCTGCGAGGGGAGCCACAGGGGGATCCAGGGATCCACAGGGATCCACTGGGACTGGGGGGGCATGGAGGGGACTGGGGGGATCCAGGGATCCACAGGGATCCACAGGGATCCAGAGGGACGTGGAGGGGGCAGGAGGGATCCAGGGATCCAGAGAGACAGGGGGGATCCAGAGGGAATCCAGAGGAATCCAGAGGGGACATGGAGGGGATAGGGGGGATCCAGGGATCCAGAGGGACATGGCAGGGACAGGGGATCCAAGGATCCAGAGGGATCCAGAGGGACATGGAAGGGATGGGGGGGATCCTGGGATCCAGAGGGATCCAGGGGACATGTAGGGGACAGAAGGGATTCAGGGATCCAGATCCAGAGGGATTTGGGCGGCATGGAGGGGATCCACAGGGATCCAGGGGGCATGGAAGGGATGGGGGAGATCCAGAGATCCAGAGGGATCCAGAGGGGACATGGAGGGGTCAGGGGGGATCCAGGGATCCAGAGGGGACATGGAGGATCCAGAGGGGACAAGGGGGGGTTCAGGGATCCAGAGGGATCTGGAGGGGACATGGAAGGGACAGGGGGGATCCAGGGATCCAGAGGGACACAGGGGGGATCCAGAGGGGACATGGAGGGGACAAGAGGGATCCAGGGGGATCCAGAGGGAACATGGCAGGGACAGGAGGGATCCAGGGGGATCCAGAGGGACATGGAAGGGACAGGGGGGATCCAGGGATTCAGAGGGACAGGGGGGATCCAGAGAGGACAAGGGGGATCCAGGGATCCAGAGGGACACGGAAGGAACAGGAGGGATCCGGGGGACATGGAGGGGATAGAGGGGATCCAGGGGGCATGGAAGGGATGGGGGGGATCCAGGGATCCAGAGGGGACATGGAGGGGATGGGAGGATCTAGGGGGGATCCAGAGGGGACAAGAGGGATCCAGAAGGGCCAGGGGGGATCCAGAGGGGATCCAGAGGGGACAGGGGAGATCCAGAGGGACAGGGGAGATTCAGAGGGACAGGGGATTCAGGGAGATCCAGAGGGACAGGGGGGATCCCAGAACGGACACAGGGGAGATCCAGAGGGACAGGGGGGATCCAGAGGGGACAGAGGGGATTCAGAGGGGACAGGGGGGATTCAGAGGGGATCCAGAGGGGACAGGGGACACAGGGGGGATCCAGAGGGGACAGGGATGATCCAAAGGGGATCCAGAGGGACCAGGGGACACAGGGGGGATCCAGAGGGATGGGAGGGATCCAAAGGGACACCCTCACATGCATAATCGCGAATGAACTCTCGGGGGGGATCCAGAGGGGACAGGGGATCCAGAGGGATGGGAGGGATCCAAAAGGGGACACAGGGGGGATCAGAGGGGGACGGGGGGATCCAGAGCAACAGGGGGGATCCAGAGGGACAGGGGGGATCCCAAGGGACACAGAGGGGATCCCACTCCCACCTTCCTGTCCCTGGTCGAGAGGGCCCAGTTCCAGTTGGTTCGGATGTTCCGGTACCAGTTCAGGGGCCCCCTGGGAAAAGTGGGAACAGGCTGGGAATGGACAGGGAACGGCTCCAGCCCCCCCAGGCCGGGATCATCCCGCTGGGAAGAGCCTGGAAGGGAAATCCCACCCCCCTTCTGTGATTTTGGGGGGTGACAGAGCCCGGCCCGGGGTCCCCCCCCACCTGAAGCCGGATTTCCGGAATCTCTGGGTGTAATATTCCAGCTCGGGGCCCGGCAGGATCCGGCTGGGAGGGGGATCCTCAGGGAATCCCACCAGGAGTCCCCCTGGCAGAGGAGGAGGAGGAACAGCAGGAATGGCACTGCCCAGCCCATGGAATTCCCAAAATCCCTGCACTGCCCAGCCCATGGAATTCCCAAAATCCCTCCACTGCCCAGCCCATGGAATTCCCAAAATCCCTCCACTGCCCAGCC